ACTGGTGGTGAATGTGTGCCGTTAAATTGTAATCTCTGTGCTGTATGGTTAAGCTTCATTATACATTTTATATATATATGTATATAAATAGCAAAGTGGCAAAAAACAAAAACAAATCCGGTGTTAAGTTCATCCTGCATAAATATAAAAAATCTGTTACAACACATTCTAAGGCATCACTTTCAAACTGCCTCTTCTGCGGAGGGGAAAAAATGAAGTGGAAAAACTTGACCTAATTTCTCGTGCTAGGGAAGTAACACATATCAGACGAGCACAAAAGGTTTGCAGTGGGTAAGGGGTTTGGGATGAAGCCTCGGCCTCCCCAGTAAATTTGCTGCTCCTCGGTGCTGCCTCCGTGAAACAGAGCGAGGAGCCCACAGGCCCGTCGCTGCCTCGGAGGAGTGTTGGGTTGTAGGTGGATGTGGCAGCGGGAGCTTGTGGTGTGACAGGGACAGTGTGGGCAGTGTCACCGCTCCTCCTCACTTCAGTGGGTCAGAGGGGTGAGCGCTGGGACTGGGCAGGGAAGTTGCAGGAGCCAGAATTTGGGTGTGCTGGTGAGAGCAGCGGGATTTGGCGGAGCCGGTTTGGCAGTGAGGTGCCTTCCACTGGCTCTGTCCCTGCGCGCTCTGCACCTCACCTGCCTCACGGCTGCAGCGCTTGCTGCTGCTGGCAACCAAATCCAGCAGCTACTGCAGGTAGTTCTAGTGCTGGGGGAGAAACCACAGCCCTGTTTTGTAATCTCCAAAAATGATCCCTGATATTTTATTAAATTTTTGCTTGGGCTTTTATGGTTTTTATTGAATAAAACAAAATAACTTAATATTCTAACTAAGAAGTATGAGGAATGGAAGTCCAGGGGGGGCCAGCCATCTCCTGGCTGTGCTGTGGTTGAAGAACACAGGCAGCACCTGCAGCTCCCACACGCCAGCTCCTGTTGTCAGGGGCATTTCCAGGCTCAATTGTTTTGGCCACTGACCTTTGGCAATCCCGCCATGGGTACAGGAAAATGAGACTTCAATGGCAATTCTGTTTCCAAAGAGCCAGAATTCCCTTCCTGCTGCAGAGAACCTTTCCGTGCTCTGAAGAGTTATGTGATTGTTTCATTATTTATGCACATCTATGAACTTTGCTGTACATCTGAGTGGGAGTTCTGCATTCACATTTACTGTCTATTTTCTTGTGTGCCTTATAAGATGGCTTTGCTGACTGTATCTCTATAGTCTTTATTTCTATGCAGGTTTTTAAACAGTACTAGTACTGTTTTCTTAAAGAAAAAAAAAAAAAAGCTGGGTAAGGGTTAGAGTTTGTATTGAAATTGCACCAATGAATTAAAAACAAATACATAAAAAATAATAATAATAATCAGTTTTTAAGAGCTGGGAACGGGACTGTTCACGTGTTGCCCCAAACCCTCCACCAGACTCGGCAGAACAAGTCTTCACCCACCTCCCATGTCGGGGAGAATCTCATGCCGTTGAATACACAGCAATCCTGATTTTTAATAACCAGTAACTTACTTAATTTTGGAACATACTTTTTTAGGAATTGTAAAAAATGTTTTATAAAAAAAAAAATTAAAAAAAAAGGCAGAGCACAGATATTTCAACAGGTTAAAAAAATAAATACTTTTTTAAAATTACACTGACTGAAGTTGCAAGTGGATCCAATCCTAGTCTGAACCCATTCAAGGCTGAATGATTTAAGGTTTTTATCTGCTGTTGTGACAAATCACCTCTCCATCTTCGAGCTCTCACCGTAGTGTTTAAAAGTGCACGTTATCAGGGACTCGTCAGAGAAAACGCTTTAGCCTTTCCTTTCCTTTCACTTAAGGACACTAACGCATCAGAAACTCGCGAATTACTGTGCGCACAAGAAATACATAGTAAATAAGGAACAAAATAACTCCTAACAACGGATCATGGGAAGAAGTGAAATCAGAATGTGAAAGAAAGACTTAACAAATGTAAATCATTAAAAAACATTTAAATCTTAGTAGAAACTTTCTTCACTTTGCTGTGCGAGAGAACACTGCTTTGCTATATTTAAAATGGCTTTTTTAAAAGAGATTTATGTATTTGGTAAATGTTTGTAGTCAACAGTTCACAAAGAAGCTGTTCACGGTTTCATGATGATAAGCCGTTTGGCGGCACAAGCTGGACTTTGTTGCCATCCTTGAGATGAATCTTTTAAGAAAAAAAAAAAATAAGTTAATCTCAATTTTTTTTTCCCTGAATGTGTTGTTTTTTCTTCAATATACAATAAATATTCTAGTGAACTTTTTATCAAATGGTTAAGAAAAAAAAAAATGCTAGAGGTTGTTGTAAAATATTTGTATCCTGCATTCACTAAAGTAAAGATACTGGCTTTTACTGTGTACTCCGGCCTCTCTCGTACTTGCAGAGCATGTTTCTGTTGACGCCTCTTTGTCTCCTCTCCAGCCCCCTGGAATATTCTCCAGTTTCAGTCCTTAAACCGCAGCAGTGGTTCCTTTTAGCAAGATGGATCTTTGGGGATACATAGAATTGTTACTGCATTCAGATTAAGAACCTCCCCCCAGAACACTTACAGAACCTGGCAGAAAACCCAGGGTCGTTCAGACCAGTGACCCAAATGTGAGCCCGTCCCTCCTGCCCCTCTCCAGACACTCACATCTCCTGCTGCTGCTGGTGCTCCTGTTTCTTGCTGTCAGACAGACGGATGGATGGATGGACGGACAGACAGCTGGGTGCCGGGAAGCCGGTGTGGTGGCTGTGGGCAGCACTTCCCTGTTCCCATCACTGTCTGCCTCTGTGGCCGCAGGTCTGCACTTTGAAACCAGCAACAGGGAAACTCTCCCACCTCCCCCCCACCCCAAGCAGGGTTCTGCAAAACAAACATTTCCTGCAGGAAAAGAGAAAAAAAACCCTGGCAGAGAAAGGGCTTCTGAATTCTTCTCCTGGTCCTGGCAGGTGGCGAGGTGACCAGGAAAGTGCTCAGCTGTGCCACAGCACAACCAAGTTGTGACCAAAAATTAACAAGCACCAGCTGTCTGGGGTGGGTGGTGCCCCTTTGTGCTTTTATTTCATTTTGCTTTATTTCAAAAGGTAATAATCCTCCCCCAGAACAAAGAGAGATACATTTCCTTCACAGAAGAAAACACAAGGGTGGGTTGTTTGGGGTTTTTTTAGGTATAAGATACTTTAGAGTCCACACTTACAAAATCAGGTTCCCTCAGGCTTCCCCAAGTGCTTTTTTTTAACACCGCACCTGGGTGATGTTCCTCACACAGCTGGAGATGCCTCAATCCCCTTCCCTCGCCCCATGCAGACCTGTCACTCTGCTCCTCCTCCAGCCAGGAGGAGGTGGCACCTGTATGACAGCGTCACCTTCCCTCACGGAGCCACGAGCAACACAACCTCCCCAAACAAACCAGCCCCTCGCACGTTCCAAGGCGGCGCTGGCCCGGCCTTGCTGCCCCGGCTCCCCCCGTACCCCAGCAGTGCCCGCGGGAGAAGGGCTCCCGCCAGGCTGAGCTCTGCCCCGCCACTGCCCCTGCCGCTGTGGTGGGACGGATCAGGAGGGGACAGACACCAGCTTTATCCAGCTGCTCTGCCCTCACCCTCTGGACACTGGCAGGAGACACCGAGCCAAGCGCCCTGTGAACAGCCCCGGCTGGGACTCTGCCTGAAAGCCAACACAATGGCCGGAGCTGCTCCTGACATCACACAGCATCACATCCCCGGGTCACGGTTCATGCAGCTGTCCTGAAAACCTTTAGTGTTTGGTTCTAGGCAAGACTTCACCTCTGCCAGCCGGCCCTGAATTTGCTCAATTAAATTTTTAAGGCAAATTCTTCCCTGCAGCAAAACCCCAAGGCCTGGTTTTCTGCTCCCCTCTGGCTGTAGTGTTGGCTGAGGTGTCCCGAACAGCACAGACCTCAGCCTGACCCACCTCTCAGCCTCCCAACCTTCCTTCGTCTTCCTTCCTACACACACAGTGCAAACATCATCAGTTCACAGAAACACGTAACACCCAGCAGCTGCCTCGGCCTCATCCTATGAAGGATGTTCACATCTTCCATGACTGTCTAAGGTAACACCGGGCTTCTTTCCAGACCTTGCAAATTAAATGCAACTTAGCAATGCTCCCACATGCAGACTAGAAAGAAAGTCAAATCTATAACTGAAATTGTGTGTTTGAGATGCACCATTATGGATTATTATTAATTATTATTATTTAAAAGTAACACTGTCTAGACCTCCCCCAACAAACAAGCCTCTGAGCAGCGCGTGGGACGTGCCCCAGGCCTCGCTCTACCCTCACCTCCTCCTCCAGTTCTCCTCGGCCACCTGCGGCCACACCAAGGACTGGCTCTGGACCAGCAGTGCCCTGGCAAAGGCAGGGATTCTGCAACGAGCTCTGCCTGCGGAGACATGGGGTTTCGGGAGAAGCCTCCAAGGATTTCAGTGAGGAGAAGAGCTCTGGGCTCAGCCTGCCCGGGGTAGGCTTGAAGCAGCCTACTAAACACAGCTCACACCCCTGCCCAAAAGGGTGACAAGGTGCGGTGTGTCAGCGCCCTCGTGCCCTGGCACACCTTGCTGAACACACCAGCAGGCACCGTTTTAGGGTTAAATGTGCCAACACTGCCATGGTCCCCCAGAGATAAAAATGACAGTTCAGAGAAAGAGAAGAGTCCCCCACTTGTACTCTAAGCAAAGAGTGTTCTGTTAAAATGCAAACTGCCCCCGGCCTTCCCATCGCATCGATACTGCACTGGCGATGGCAGCAGCCAAGGATCCGCGTCCCGGACACTGCACAAGAAATACCTGAAGCAGCACAAGTGAGGGACTTGCTGCAAAACACCTTCCCTCCGCAGAGCTCAGGGATGTCAAGCCAGCTGCCCCGCGATCTTTATACGCCACCAAGGTCCTTATCCTGCCGCGGAATCACATCACCTCACTTTCAGTCAAGTTCAGGATCACAACATCAGCTACTTAAAAGAACAGAAATATTCTGCATTGTTATCCCCCTGAGCGCGCTCGCGGCAGCGCCGCTGGCGTACAGGCGCCAGTGCTGGCAGCAGAGGCCGTGTCCCGCTGCCTCTCCCCCTCAGGATTTTTTTTCTACAGCTGAACTTTGTCGTAATTTCCCTTCCAATCCATCTGTTGAAATATTTGAGGTTAGTGTTGTGTTGGGGGTATGGGCCACCAGGCCTTGTGTTTTAAAATAGATGATATAAAACACTGGCAGGACAATTCCTATCAGGAGCATAATAAACACTGCGTTCCACCACTGGATCCCACAGTCTGCACCGTTACTGCTCTCCTGCTTCCCCGACTCGGGCAGTGGCCTCTCCAGTGCTCCCACGCAGTACTCTGCGTTGAGCTGGACCTCCACGTCCTGAATGCTCTTGTCAATCCCCCTGAAGTAGTCGCTCAGGTGTTTGCTGTCGGCAGAGCTGCTCGCAGCCTCCTCGGGCTCCGGTAAGTCCACCAGCGTCAGGCCGGTCTGGGAGGGCGCAGCGGGGAGCGGCCTCAGTTCTCTGCCGTTCTCCGTTAACAGCCCGTGGGGCTTCACGGGGATCTTGATGGACTTGAGCGCATACAAGTCCTGCTCCCGGATGAAGTTGTTGACACGTTTGATATCCGCAACCTGCAGAAGCCAAAAAGGACAGGAATGTGAGTGCAGGACAACCCAGTCCTGGAGCAGGAAGCAGTGACAGAACTAGTGTGCAAGCAGCAGCCGGAAAATCACAGCAAACCCTGGCTGAGAGTGGCTCAGTGTCTGGCAGAGATTTCCCTGCTGTTCCGGGGATGCTCCAAGTCCTGCAGGACAAACAGTCCCAGTCAAACCAGTTTATAACCTTCTCTACTGCTCTGGTATCTCTCATGCTGTATTTTGCTTAATACTGTTTTTCCTTCCTTCCTTCTTTCTCTCACTTTCTAATCCAAGTCAAGGCAACGAGACTCTTTGTAACGGATCCTTGTAAAAATCATTTTCATACCTAAAACAATACACGAGTGTTTAAGGTGAGGGGACAAGGTCAGAATGAGGAGGGAAAACCTTCCCCCTGCTCGGAAAGCGATTTCAGAGTGAACAGAGCTCCATCTCTGGAGCACACCGCGGTTTTGAACACAAGATCACAGCCTGGAAGAGAGCAGGTGATCGTCTCTCCCCCGCAGCCACGAGCACCCTTCACTCATGTTCCCAAGCACCACCCCTCTTCCGCCCCACAGCAGCTCCCCACAGCAGCTCCCCACAAACCATAAACCCCACAGCTGGTGAACTCTCCTGCTGACGGTTCACTCAAGGCAATAATCTCCGTGCAGCTGTGATCATCTTTGGTGGCTCGTGTGTAGGGTCCCCATCTGTGACCAATATTCCCACCCAGCTCTGCGATGCAAACAGCAGTAAGAAGAGCAAGAAAGAACAAACCACACGTAGGGAGTAAGTCACAAGGACAGCGGGTACCAAGGACAAGACAAAGGTAAGGCAGCGTTTCGTTATTCAACGTTAAATAAAGAGAAGATGGCCTAACAGCGTGCGCTCACAACCCCCCAGGAGTACATGAACTTCTCATCTGCCCTAAACCCGCTGGCCAAGAAATGAACAGGAGTGTCAACGTGTGCAAGGAGCTCTCCAAAGCAGCCAAGGAGACAGGACAGAACCTCACAGAATCGTAGCAGGTGGAAAAGACCTTTAAGATCACCGAGTCCAACCATAAACCCAATACTGCCAATTCCACGTCTAAACCGTGTCCCGCAGCACCTCGTCTGCCCGTCTGTTAGATACCACCAGGGATGGTGACTCCACCACCTCCCTGGGCAGCCTGTTCCACTCCTGGTGAAGAAGTTTTTTCCTCAGATCCAATCTAAAGCTCCCCTGGTACAACTTGAGGCCGTTAACCTCGAGGGAAAGGCGGGTGGATGCAAAACAAAGAAAGCAGCAGGACCCCAAACCAAGGAGAAAGGCAACAGGAACAGGTTAACCACCTCTGGTGTGTCACACAGACGAGACACAGCACGAGGACTGCACTTCCACAGACAGTCTGACTTGTTCTTTACTGTGTGGTGCCCCTTTGTGCTTTTATTTCATTTTGCTTTATTTCAGAATGTAATAATCCTCCCCCAGAACAAAGAGAGATACATTTCCTTCACAGAAGGAAAACACAGGGTTGTTTGTTTGGGGTTTTTTTGGGGTATAAGATACATTAGAGTCCGCATTTACAAAATCAGGTTCCCTCAGGAACCGCACATCAAACTCATCTACGTGTGAAAGGCGGCAAGTCTGCTACGCCCCAGCCAGAGAGCAGGACCCTGCTGAAGGGCAGCGATGAGATCAGTGCCTGAATCTCACTTTTACTCAGCAAAGCTTAAGAAATCAGAAAATGGGATGTTTAATCTAGATCCTAATCTGGTGCCCCTGAGGCGAAAGGAATCCTCAGCTGCTGGCTCAGACTCCTCACACCTTGCCCCAGCATAACAGCAGGACTTAAACCCTGCAAAATCATTTAGTTACGAAATAACAATCCCATCCAAAGCCTCCCAACTGAGGGGGTGCTGCAATTTTTGGGTTTATTCCAATGAAAACAAATTATTAGGACAGTAAATATCCCCTGCAGTGTCTGCAATCAAACAGCACAACGTTGTGCTAAGGCTCTAGGAACAGAAAGGGACCAGCACTGACACAGAAACAGCAAACAAAGCCGGTGGGCAGCACGCAAGAGCACGAGCCATTTACTCTTCTTTTCCATACTGGTTTCTTTGGCTGCAGTGAGCTCCTCATGCCCCAGAGAAGAACAAAGCCAAAAGCAGGCGAGGACTATAAATGGTCGAGAGTAAAAATGAGAATTCTGAAGCTCTTTGCACTTTTGCCAAGTTATCTGCAGGACACACAAAGCTATTTGCTGCGCTGTCCTGATACCCCCACCCCAAGCAGGGTCCTGATGATTCTGAAACAAACGACAAGGTCTGGCTGATTTCAAGGACAAGCTCATCCTGGATTTTGTAAACACAGTTGCATGTATTTGAGGCTGCAAATCCTACTCACTGCTGTCCTGGTAGCCTTTCAGGAGCTGATTAATTGTGCAAGTAAAACAAAACACATGAAAACTGATCAGTGCCAGTCTGTAAACAGCCAAATACACAAACCTCCAATAATAAGGATTTCTGTACCTCTTCAGTTTAAGTGGAACAAGTCAGAAGTGCCCTTTCTGGGAGGGAGGGACAGGCTTTTACCTGTGGGAGGAGAACACTGACTGCCTGGTCCCTGCCCACCAGCTCGCCTTCCCCACCGGACATGCCCAGCAGCCTTCAGCAGGGCAGAGAGATGAACAGTCAGGGCAGGGACAGCACCTAGTCCTCCCGAGTTCCAGTATCACAGCAGGCTTTTCCATGCCATAAACCAAAAGGGTTGCCCAGAATCTTCCTCATAGAATCCCAGACTGGTTTGGGTTGGAAGGGACCTTAAAGCTCATCCAGTTCCAACCCCCCTGCCATCAGCAGGGGCACCTTCCACTAGACCAGGTTGCTCAAAGCCTCATCCAGCCTGGCCTTCAACACTTCCAGGGAGGAGCAGCCACAGCTTCCTTGGGCAACCTGCTCCAGTGTCTGACCACCCTCACAGTGAAGAGCTTCTTCCTCCTTTGAGTTCACCAAACCACTTGTGATTCTGCACAAGTGGCAATAACGACACAACTGCTACAGCTCAGAGATGAACGTACAGCCACAACTGGAGCCAAGCGCTGCAGCTCCCAGTTCTCAGGCTCTGCCAGTGCCAATCAAGGCCTATTCAAGTCCTACCAGACCGACATCAGGCTCATCAGCAGAACCTACAAGGGTTTCTTTTTTTGTTTTGTTTTTGTTTCTAAGGGAATGGGAGGGGAGGAATTGTCGCAATTCCTCTAAGCCCTCTTGCTTCAGCTGCAGCACGCAGCTGTTGTGTTGTTAAGCAAGACAGACCGCGCTGGTGAGGCGGCAGTTGAGCCAGTACTGTATCATTATCCCCATCCAGGTCACTGTCCAATTGTTTGCATCATGGAACTTTTTAATCACAGTCTAGCTTGCAGATAAAGAAGGCTCTAAAAATACAGCTTGAACTGCTAAACAACGGGGTACTTTTAACATTCAGATCAGGTAATTAAACTTTTCAACAGTTTTTCTATAAAGAGTTCTGCTTTGGAACAAAGAAAATGTATATTTTTTTTTAGTATGTTCCAACTCCAGAGAAAATTCACCATGCACAGGCACTGCCCCCCCACCCCCCGCCTGCCGATGGCTGAGCCCCGCACACTGCTGCTCCGAGAGCAAACAACCAAACCCCACGTGCACAGACAGCACCTGGACTCTGTGACCTGAGCTTTGGCACCTCTCCTTCTTCAAGTCCACTCCTGTTAGACTTAGACCTTCCCTGCAATATGTAACCTTTCAAAAAATAAACAAAAACCAAAAAACCAACCCAAAACCAGACCCCACTGGAGCAGCATTTGTTTGTTCTGTTCAGTTTGAGTGAAAAATCATATGCTCCTGGAGAGCAGGGCGCTCACCCTCCCTTCTGTACTTCCTACCTTCTGCCCTCACTTAACTAATGAAGCACGAATCATGACTGCTACACTGCAGTCACTCAAACAGGAAAGCGGGTCACACAGGCTGTGAGGCTGACACATCTTCCTAGGCTGTTAGCTGAAGAACACCCTTTCTTGTTTTCTTGGTGTTTTGGGGGTTTTTCTGCCTTTCCCCAGCTCAGTTTCACCCAGATATTGACCATTCATGAAACACACAGGGCTAAAACACTTTTCAGTGTCAAAACTCTCAGACAACAGCACGCCTTCCCATAACTCTAGAACCTAAGCTACGCATAAAATACCCCTTCACTAATTAAAACCAAACAAACAGAGACAGCTCTTACTTTACACCCATACTGCAGGGCTAGCTTGTTAAGATTATCACCCTCCGTAATCTCTCGTTCCAGAAGCACCACATCTCCAGCTCTGTCCCGAGAGGTGCTGCACCGCTGCTGCTCCCTGCCCCTCGGCCGCAGTTCCATAACGTTGAGTTCCTCCTCCGACGACTCTTCCGAATCCGAGCGGTCATTGGGAAACACGTACACCTGCCTGCCCGGGTAACTGTGGACGGTGACAGGAGCCTGGAAAGATCTTGTCCGGCTCTCATTCAGCCTCATCTTTTATACCAGCACCTGGAACAAAATAACAGGCATTTTTAATTTCCTTAATATCAGCAGCACCTGGAATAAAAACCAGGCATTTCTGAATTTCCTTAATACCAGTGTTTATTTCTTAGCATGTAAGATTTGGGAGAATGGACAAAAAGCACAGTAGTTGCATGTGCACACACAGACACAGACACACACACACACAGAGTTTTCCTTAAAGACAGATCTTCTCAGGGGCAAATCCAGGATGCCATTCCAACAGCAATGACAGCAGAATTAGAAAGGCTGTGTAGGCAAACTTAAACAGTGGGGAGATTATTTTCAACTTTTTTTTTGTCTACCTGTGAACAAACCACCACATAATACTATTTTGCTACACATCTTAAATACTATTTTCTATAATTTCATTAAAAAAAAATAGCAGTCACTTGAGCCAAGTGTCTTTAATTAACCACCATATCAGATTTCCTACCAATACACATCAAAAACTGACTGAAATGATCTGTTATATCACTTTTCCAGAAGTCCTTAGTTCTCCACATTTTAAAAATCCACATTTTAATTTTATGGAAGTGCACTTTTAATTTTTTTTTTTTTTTTAAAGAAGGACAGCTCAAGCTACACCTAACTTCAACCTGAATGACAAGGTAATTTTGTTGTATAAAGACAAGAACCTGCCTGAGCACTTTAATTACTGCCAGGCCTACAGCAGCAAGTTATTAGGAAGCCACTTCCTTTTTATTTTTTTTTCTCTTCAATCCTCAGCTCCACAATTAGTTGTCAGGGTCAGGAACAGGTAAGAAAACCCCACATTCCAATGGAATTGCATCGACCTTAATATTCTCAATCTACCCATCGGGGATTCCTACAGTGAAACCACATGTGATGGTGTTTCATGGGCACTCAGCGTGGCAGCACAGCCTGCGGGCAGGGTCACGGCTTCAGCTCTAAGACCAGGGTCTCCCTGGCCGCTGCTGCGGGACACCTCTGCCTCTGGATGAGCTGTGAGCCAGCGCTGTCCCCGGAGGGTTCTCCCCAGGCAGAGCCAACA